TCAAAATTTTAAGGGTGGTGCTTTCATGCTTTCTTTTTACCTTTTACACAATTAATGTTATTTTTTGTTTTTTAATTTTTTTCAAGTTATTTGATTCGACGTTTGAAAATTAAAGGAGGTATGTAAAATGTAAAAAAGAATGTATGGATAGTCGTCCCCAATTTTAAATCATGTTACTTTATAATCATGTTCTCTTTATTATAAATTACAATTAAATATGAGATGTCAAGACAGTGACTACTATTAATAATAATTCAAATTATGAAAAACGATACCACTTTTTAATACAATCTAGAATTTTACTATGTTATGTAATTTATTTAGGATGATTGGAACGTGGGAGGGCCACATCTAATATATAATATTAGATTATAAAATACTAATTCTCAAAATTATCAACCAGAATTGTTGATGTGGCCATGGCTCACAATCTAACAAAAAATAAAAGTATTTTATAAAAGTGTGAAGATTTAGATGAAGGTTTAGAGGATTAAATAATGATTAAATGGTTGTTAACATGGAGAGTCATATCTTAACCGTTGATGATGAAATTGATGAGTTTTCAATTTGGGCAGACAAAAATAAAAAATTTATAGCTGGCCCTATCTCATTCTGTCCCATCATAGAATCAAAATGGACTTCATGAATGTTCTTTGTTAACTTGTTCAATTCCTTTGGTGGTTACAACGGAAGTATCCTCCAAATCATAGGTACTAATATGCTCATGACTTGTTAAGATTGTTTTTAAAATGACTAAAACGCTTTAAAATAATTTGGACAGAAAAAGTTAACATTAAAAGGTTTTTCTATATTATAAGAACACCATTTAGTGTTTTCTATTATGGTAGGTGTTTCTTCGGTAAGCAATTCCAAATTTTTAATAAAATCTTCAACGTGTTTGATGTTTCTAATAATAGTGCTTTCAACAAAAACAATTATAAGCAGAGGTACTTATAAGCATTCTCAAATTGGCCATAATCTGGTGGAACAGTTATTTCGAACGTTGAAAGATGTTCCAAGTTTGGATCTCCTCTAGACATCGATAAGAAAGATTAGTGACACGAAGTATGAAATGTTGCAGGTCTAGTGTACACATATTCAACAGGAATGAGGCAACATTTGTATGTGAACAACCCAGAACTAGTGAAGGAAATGAACCAGTGCATGAGTTTGGATTTAGGCAAGCCTACTTATGTAAGCAAGAGACTTGCACCCATGCTTGGCAATGGAATTGTGAGGTCCAATGGCATTGTTTGGTCACAGCAAAGGAAGATTGTTGCCCCTGAGTTCTTCTCAGACAAAGTCAAGGTAATTAAACTCGCTTCCAAATCAAAATTCGAATGATTTTGTCGCAAATAATTGTTTCATTGCATGATTCATTTGTAAACTGAGACTTACCGTTGATATAATGTGGCAGGGCATGGTGTCGCTGATGCTGGAGTCAGGACAGACATTGCTTAGAAAATGGGAGGACTTAATCGAAGCGCAAGGCAGCGTGACAGCGGAGATTCAGGTGGACGAGGATTTGAGAGATTTCTCTGCTGATGTTATATCAAGAACTTGTTTTGGAAGCTCTTATGTAAAGGGCAAAGAGATTTTCAAAAAGCTTAGAAGTCTTCAAGAAGTAATATCCCAGCAAAACTTCCTCTTTAGTAATTTGGGGTACGAAAACTTTCCATTACTTAACAGTGTATGCTAAACAGCAGACCCGAGCGTAGCCAGGTTGACAGTTTATATTACATTAGAATTTCACTACTCGTAGAATTTTAATTCATAAATGCATGTTTAACAATGCAGTGGATTGAAGAAGCAAAATGAGAAAGGCTTGGAGAGGGAGATAGAAACTTTGATTTGGGAGGCAGTGAAAGAAAGAGAAAGTTCATGTGACCAAAAGGATTTGTTGCAGAAAATACTAGAGGGAGCCATCAATGACCAAACCCTAGGCAATGGTTCATCCAAGCAGTTCATAGTTGACAACTGCAAGAACATATATTTTGCAGGCCATGAATCCACAGCTGTTGCTGCCTCTTGGTGTTTGATGCTGCTTGCATTACATCCTGAGTGGCAAGCCCGAATCAGGACGGAGTTGGCACAAGCTTGCCCGGATGGCCTGCCAGAGTCAAACACCCTCCCTCAGTTGAAAACGGTACAAGCGTTTACTTTGCTCGTTATGTTAGTTAATTAAGTTCGAAATAGAGTAATGTTTTGATGCCATACTATGTTGTCACTGTACATTCAAACAAAATGCTGATAAATCCGCGATCTTGATTGACAGTGTGACAATATAACTAAGGATTGTCTACCCATTCAAACAATATTCCACCTCACTGGTAACTCGTATTTGCAATCTAAAAACATAACATGTTAAGACTGTTTAACCATGCAGATGGCAATGGTGATCCAAGAAGTCCTGCGCCTATACCCGCCGGCTGCATTCGTGTCAAGGGAGGCACTCGAAGACACCCAAGTGGGAAACATGACTTTCCCAAAAGGCGTATGCTTATGGACATTGATCCCAACGCTGCACAGAGACACAGAAACTTGGGGACCAGATGCAAATGAGTTCAAACCAGAGAGGTTCACTGATGGAGTCTCGAAGGCATGCAAGTTTCCCCACGTCTACATCCCATTTGGGTTGGGGCCTAGGACATGTTTGGGCAAAAACCTTGCCATGGTTGAACTAAAGGTTTTGCTATCCCTTGTTATCTCCAAGTTTTCTTTCACTCTATCTCCAAAATATAAGCATTCTCCTGCCTACAAAATGATCGTGGTGCCTGGAAATGGTGTACATATTCTTATTCAGAAAATCTGTTGACTGATTGAAAAATAAGTCAGCTAGGTGTCTCTTGATCGGAATGACAGATTGAAGATAAGAAATGTCATGTTTGCAAAATGTGGGATAGTGGAATGTAGATGTAGGTTTACTTATCTAAAACATTTTTTTCGCTTTGGTAATATCTAATTTGTATGCACGTGTTAAAGTTAGGATTTTTCTGTAATGAAAAATGACTTGTCATGTATACAGTGACAGATGTACATTGAGATCAAGGTGGTCCCTAAACCACCAAGAGCTTGGAAAATATATATGTAAAGGTATTTCGAGAATCCTTCGACTTTTTGGTATGGATTCATTTTGTGCACACCAAATGTTTGATGTAATTCATGCTATGCATATTTTAGCATCACTCAGCCGATTGCGTTGAGAGCAATTGACAAATTCTCTTGATAGCACTCATCATATTACTTGGACATATATCGACATTTGTTGCCATGTGTGCAACATAGTTCGGGTAACGACAATAAGTCCAAAATTTTCGACGAAATGCCTCAAGGGAATAAAATGCGCACGCTTTGCGTTGTATTTCTATTAAAAAACCCTAAGACCTTCAACATTGGGAGCCCCCAATGTTTGAATCCTGAATATGGTATTGCATATATAAGGAGTTGAAAATTTCTCCCAAGTCCTTGTTTTTCATTCCATTTCACCAGAAATTTTGCAATTCAAGTCGTTAACAACATTTACTTATGAAATCAATCATCAATCTCATAACCAAATAAGTAGTAGGGAAATTAAATTCATATATAACTTGGAGAAGGCTAAATAGCCAAAATGGTCCATGAGATTTGTCCACCATCCATCATTTTGGTCCCCAACATTTCAAATCAATAAAAGTGGTTCCTGAGATTGTCTATTATCCATCATTTTAGTCATTCCATTAAAAACTCCATTAAGTGTTCCGAAGCTCTTGGCCAGAAGTTTGGGCAATTTTCAAAGCTTCGTAACTCAATCGTTTCTTAACCAAATTCGACCCATAATATATCAAAATAAAGATAGGAAAGTGTAGAATACGATTATACCTATTTGGAATCTCAATGGCTGCTGGAGATGGCCGGAAAATAGCCTCAATGTTGACTGGTCTGAGAGAAAACTGGAAAACTCGTTGGAAATTGGGTAAACTTTAAACGTTCATAACTTATTTAATACTCAACGAAATCAAGTGATTCAAAAACGAAAATCATACTTTTCGACGAGATGAAGATAATGTTACCTTTTTAGACAGCTAAATGGTCATGGTTTGGTCGGAAAATGGCTTGAAAGTAGCCACTTAGTTACTCAATCATTTTAGTCCACTGAGTTTGGGCAATTTTCAAAGTTTCGTAACTCAACCGTTTCTTAACCAAATTCGACCCATAATATATAAAAGTGAAGATAGGAAAACAGCTAAATGGCCGTGGTTTGGCCGGAAAACAGCTAAATTCGACCCATAATATATAAATAGCCACTTTTGAGCCGGTTTCCAGCCAAAACACAGCCATTTAGCTATCTAAAAAGTAACATTCTCTTCGTCTCGTCGAGAAGTATGATTTTTATTTTTGAATCACTTGATTTTGTTGAGTATTGAAGAAGTTACGAACGTTTAAAGTTTACCCAGTTTCCGACAAGTTTTCCAATTTTTCCTTGGACCAGTCAATTTTGAGGCTATTTTCCGGTCATCTCCTGCAAACATTGGGCTTCCAAATAGGTATAATCGTATTCTGCACTTTTCTATCTTCATTTTGATACATTATGGGTTGAATTTGGTTAAGAAACGATTGAGTTATGAAGCTTTGAAAATTGCCAAAACTTCCGGCCAAGATCTTCAACACATTTAACGGAGTTTTTAACGGAAAGACTAAAATGATGGATGGTGGACAATCTTAAAGACCATTTTTATTGATTTGAAATGTTAAAGACCAAAATGATGAGTTATCCAAGTCTCAGAGACCATTTTAGCTATTTAGCCCTTGGAGAATTTACGTTATCATTCCAATCAGCAAATAATATACATCCAAATGAAATACGAGAATTTACATCGTCATTCTAGTCTACCGATGCATATGCATCGAAAATAAATTAATACCTTACATACAGATAAGAGGAATTCACTCAAACAAAGTCCTCAAAACACTTTTCTCTAATATACACAATGAGAAATAAAGGAGTTTTTTTTTTTAAGTGTTAATAACATTCTCTTTGTAAAATCGTGAATACATACAAGAGGAAATAGTGAATTACCAACACGTGTATTTTCAAAACTCATTAACACTTAACTAAAATTGATTACCAAACATTCACTATTCTAGTATCCAAACGTCCCTTCTCCCTCACTGCAACATTTCTCCATCCTTCCATCTCCCCGAACCAGCAAGAACTTCCATGTCTCCCATCCCATCTCCTACTCTAACCTTTCGCCATCCATAACGCAACCTATCAGCATCTTCTTTTCCGAGGAATTCATGAAAGAACCATCGGAATACTTGGGGAATCGTTGCCACCTTTCTCCTCTAAACTCTGCTGCTATGGCTACCTTGGGGTAGAAGAGGGTGGATTAAGGGTGGGGCCGCCGACGAAGAGCGATTGGCGAGGAGATGAGGTGGGGTCGCCGGAGGGGAGAGCTTGGAGGAGGAGACGAGGTGGGGTCGGCAGCAAGAGGCTGGAAAAGAAGACGAGAGTAGGTTTGTAGGACGGCAGAGGTTGGAGGAGGTGAGGGTTGGTCAGCCATGTCTGGTGGGATTTATCATTTATGTGAGGAAGAAGAATGTTGTTTGGTTATCAGGTTATGGGAGCAAGTTAGGATGTTTGGGTATCAAAATAGCAGGAGCTTGGAGCAATCAAATGGACAGGTGTAGCATTTCTATTGAGCTTTATAATGGTCAGTAAAAATTGGTTACTGACCTATCAGTAGGGAAGTATTGTCTCAGGAAGAAACTATTGGGGAATTGATGTGACGGCAGTAAAAGTATTGTCCCAAGAAGATTTAGCGACCATTTGCAAAGCGCAGTTGTATCCAAGCTTCTCCACATCCTCATCCTTCACCATGTTTCCTGAATTTCGCAGAGGTCGAAGAAATGGCAGCACCGTCTTCTTTTACTGCAACGGCGACAGTGGCGTCAGATTCCGACCCAGAAGGAGTAGGTCACTGCAACCCATCAAAGTTATGGACTATTGGGGCTCTCTTGATCCTCCCTTCATGCAAAAAAGCGGAGATATTTCCCCAAAAGATCACAACTTTGAGTGCTCCAGCTGCTTGGAAAATCTTCAAAGTCTGCAAGAACATCTCATCAGTCATTTGGATCCAACTATTATGGGGTTTTCATCATTGCTTGCAAATTCGAGACTGAATCTTTGTAAGAAAACCCAACATTTTATATGATTGCCTATCTCTATATCTTTTGGGTTTTTGTTGATTTTCAACATAAACAACTTTATGTAAGTGATGACTTTGGTTTTTGTAGTGAGGGTTGATGATGCAAGAAATCTTCTTGGCCATTTGGGATTGCTTCAGACCACCATAACTGGGTTCCAATTGTTTCAGAAATGGATACTGGTATGCTTGCTTCTGCAGTTATCCTGTTCATTGAAGTGTTTTCTTAACAAATATTTAACATAATTGACTTGTTTTTTAGCTTCATGAATTGTTACCTACTTTTTTCAGTGTGGTATGTGCTATATGAACAAGCCTTATCACATAATTGATTCGTGTTGCGAAAGCATTGAGCACAAGGCATGATCACAAAATAGATATAGAAACTAATGTGCTTTAATCAAGAGCTTCTAAAGGTCCGATAGTGTATTCATTCTAAACTTTAAAGAATGATGTATATTTGGGAAACACATAGGGAGTTGTAAGCAATTGTCAAGTGGTTTGTTCACTGATTTAGTCCAAGATTTTTATAACAGATGGCGCATTATTCAGAAATCATATCTAAAGCTAGATATGTGTTTTAATTTTTTGTTCATTCTTCAAGAGAGTTACTTAGAAATTGCCATAATAGTGAAGATTTGATTTGTAAAGGCTTCTGAGAAATGAATTCAAAATCACACATGGAAATGAAACAAAGTAATCGTTTGTAACTCTTCATTTTATTTTCATTTACATTACTTTTAGAAAAATAAAGCTCTTATTCATTTCAATCACTTTTGTTACCGCACTTTAGAGAAGTGAATTTGAGTTAACCACTAAGTTTTGTTTTTTAACCATGCATTTATTCTCACTATCAGTGTTTTGCCAGATGTAACAATTGCCACTGCACTGGTTCACTATAACGCATTTGTCAGGTCAAGTGCTTCATGCATGGGGTGACCTGTGCTAGTCATTATCCGTTCATATCCAATCAAATCTACCAAGCTTACCTTAAATGACGGGTGGAATTTATTGAGGCGCTTTATAAAATGGCCTTCATAGGGTTTGTTTGAGCAATGAGGATTGACCTTATCGCGGCGGAGGTCTTGTAAATACTTTTGCTGGTCGGTTTCTTGAAGAAAAGCAATTGGTAATTCTCTATTGCTTTTAAATGCAAGTCTTGCATGTTGTCTTCAGTTGTTTTTTGATGGCCGAAGGAGAATCTAAGAACAAAAATTGCAGATCTTGATTGTTCTTAGATAATCTTCCTATGTTTTTGTATATTCACTAATCAATTTTTGCTGTCATGATCAGGATATAAAGGGATTGAGGGTTTACCGGTGGTGAATTGTTTTGAGTAGATCAGTTGCACGGATATCAGATTTACGATAATCGAGGTAAGCTGCTGGTAGGCAAGTCCTGCTAAAAAGGAAGAGTATTTCTGATAATCATACATATATGAGTGAAAGTTTTTTTACTCCTTCCCAAAGGGCTTTGTACCTTGTTGATTCTTTAATTGTTTTTATATCAAGTGGTGTTTTTGTCATAATTGGATAATGGTATTCATCAATTTGTGATATTGATGTGTTAAGGTTTTGTCTATTAGAGAAGATCTGATGCCAAAATGTTGTGATTGGTAAGAATTGATGGATTTTGGAGTAGTATTGGAAGTTCATTGATGTCGAAAATGTTGCGGCTGGTACAAAAAATGATAGATTTGGAGTAGGCTTGGAACCAGTTGTGTTGGAATCAGACCTTCAAGCACACTAGTTTGATATTAAGCTAAACCCAGAGTCATAATATTTTGGCATCTGAACTAAGTTCCAACACCTGATTGCTTATCAGATTGTTAAACAGTTGATGCTCAAAGGGGATAAGTCAAATGGATGGAGGAAATGAAAATTTTATACTCTTATTTGGTTATAAATTAGAATGTCTAAGGATTGTAGGGTTCAGCGATGTCCCTAATTCAAATCCAAGTCCAGAAATGGGTTTGAGGGATTTCTAGGTATAAAAGACAGTTAAAAAAATTCCTCATAGAAAAAACAGGTCCATCGAACTAGCAATTTAATGAAGAAACAAACAAAGAAGGTAAAAGCACATGTACTATGTTCAATATGTAGCCTGTCAATGAGTACGTATTTTTCATGTGTCTTCTTTTGTGGAAAATGCCAAATAGATGGTGGTGGTAGTACTTATCAATGCAGAAACAGGTTGCATGTTGTTCTTTTGGAATATATATTCTACTAGAATTGTACTAGAAAATTCACTTAAGTTGCCTTCTTTTAGAAGATTGAATTGCGCATAAGAAATTTAGCTTATGAAAGTAAGACGATTGGGGATTTCTTTTTTTGGTTTGCATTTATTGTAAAACTTGCAATCTCTCAGTTGAGTAATACTTGAATTTGTGTTCTATCACATTGTAAATCTAAGATCAGGTGGCATCAGTTCATTCAAAATTTTCCAATTTTACTTGGTTGATTATAATGCAAATCAATTTTATTTATTTATTTTTAAATTGAGATGAAAGAGGTCGCACTTGGTGCGATGGCAAGTGCCTTCGCCCATGAGCGGTAGGTCTCGGGTTCGAGACTTGGGAGCAGCCTCTCCATAAATGGGGGTAAGGCTAGCCGACATTCACCTCTCCCAGACCCTGCGTAAAACGGGAGCCTTGTGCACTGGGTACGACCTTTTTTTTTTATTTTTAAATTGAGATGAAAAGGGGGCCCAATCTAAAGAAGTTCTGAAAGATGTGATGGTTTCCTGTCTAAGAGCTTGTGAGAAAATATTAAAATCACTTAAGTGAGTTTTCTAGTAAGAAGAGCATCGCTCAACTTGGTATTGTGAGAACCACCCCACAGATGAAGTTTAGGGACAAATATATCTGATGTAACCCTTACTCTTCTACTAAAACTATTTCTTTTTGTGGAATCACTAGGAATTTCATTACCTTTTATTTTCTGGCACTTTTACTTTTCCAAAATTGAATATATTATACATGAATATCTAATAGTCTTCTTGAAATTACCATGCTCCATACCTAATATCTATAACTTGATTTATGGATCAGGAGACTGGTAGTAGTAGCTATGATGTCGGACGGAAATAGACGCAAGAGTGCAAGATTGATGGATGCGGAAAGCAAGGGCAAGAAAATATGTTACACCGAAGAGGATGTGTCTTCTGAAGAAGATAATTCCTGCCAGACACGGAGAAGAAAAAGGGTTCAGATTGGACCAGTCCAAGATCCGGCCGCAAGCAGAAATGAGCATGAACTGAAAACAGAGGTGTGTACTTAATAATGCTGTGAAAACTGGAACAGTTATTGAAAAGGAAGTGGAAATGTTGAAGTGTGTTGACATAATATGTATGTAAATATACCTTATATAGAATAATATATCGGACCACATGACGATTAATTTATTCTTTTGAGTTTTTATTAGTCAAGCATAATTTCTGAGTAATAAAATCTGGCAGGCACTCCACATCTTTTCTACATACTTCATATTTATTTAAGTTAATGTATTTTGAATGTAAGGACATGATTGTTTATTGTGAATTTTGCACTGGGGTCATGTTTTTTAATCTTTTTTTTTTTTTGTGTGCATAAATTGCAGGTTGACAATACACTTGCCGGTGATGGTCTGTATTTTTTTTCTTTAAGATTTAAATTGCAACTTACTATATATATGCTATGAATGAAAAGACTCGGTAATTCATTTTTATTGTATTTAATCAAACAGCTGCCATGCCATCAGAGACTCCTCTACCAGAATCATGGAAGCTTGAACTGCTTCTTAGCTTTCTGCGAAAGTAAACACTGGGTTACGACATCTTTTCTTAATGATTATTTATAGTTAGCCACGCTATAATATTTAATGAAGTGAATAATTTTTTCTTTTGCTCGTATAAGTGATTAGCCTCTTCTTTAGTGAATTCCTCATCAAGAAAGTTAATGCTCTTTATATCTTTCTTCAACTTTAACTACAGGAAAGACTCGTACAATATGTTTGCAAAGCCAGTAAACTCACAAGAGGTTTGCCCTATTTATTTACGGTCTTTCCAAGTGTATATTCTTGTACAGTTGCTAATACATGGTTCAATTTGAAAGGTTAAAGGGTACAGTGATATTATTAAAGAGCCAATGGATTTCGGGACAATTTCAGAAAAACTCAGTGCAGGAAGCTACAGAACACTGGAAGAATTTCAGGTGGTTTTCTACTTGTTTTTCCTTTCAGTAAGGCTCGGAAGAGAGAACTGGTCTTTGAGCTTCTGTTTTTAACTCCTCTCTCCTTTTGAGTTTGCTGAAAATTTTGGGTCAGCATGTGCATAAACATTTGTTTTGACATAAACAGGTCGTCTGGGGTTGGTTCATAAGTTTCCTTATCAAATTTCTATTTTCGTTCTACTTTATGGTTGTAGGATTGAAACAAACTGTGTCCCATCACATTTGTGATTGTAACCTTAATGGCGGATTAAATGTTAATACTGATACACATATCTGGTGCTTTAGTTTTGATGTTCGTTTGGTCAATGTACAGCATGATGTGTATTTGGTGTCAGCCAACGCAATGTCATACAACCCCCCATCCTCCATTTTTAATAGAGAGGTCAGTACATTAAGCACTGTTATCATCAAAGTTGACCAACATCTTATGCTCTTGAAATCTCCATTTTCGCGTTAACTATATTCAATTTACGGCTTTCCAGGCTCGTGATGTAAAAATTATAGCAGATGAGTTGTTTGGTGCACTGAAGAATGACCTTAAAAGCTTTGAAAGTGTGCGTTCCCCAAAAACATCACGAGCTGGTATGAGGAGCAAGAACATCACGAACAGTTCTGCTGATAGGTCAACTAATGGGATGCCTTCAAAGGGTAGGTGTAAGTCCAAACTACGCATGCCCTAAGTTATTTGAAATTTACATTTTGGCTTAAATGATTATACAGGAATAGACTACCCTCATTTCTTATGAGATATTGATCAAAGACTTATTCAGTATTCTGCATTTGCTTGTAACAGCGCAAGGGGTTGCCGAGCAGAAGTTACAAAAAGCCGAAGTTCTTAATCCTCAGATTTCGACTTCAAACTTTCAGCGTAGAGATCTAGATCTTAATGTGGCATTATCTCATAATGGCATCAATAATTCTCAATCTTCAAATATCCTTCCTAGTTCCACCCCAACTCAGTACTGTGGTGCACAAACAAACGTTGGGTGCCATAATGGTCAGTTTATTGGGACTCTGCCCTCAATCAATGCCTCCTTTAACAGCAGCATTGGAACTGATGTTAGTAGGGGTAGGGGTCCCGTTATAACTAATCTGCCTGCTTCAGAACTAAGGAGGCAATTTGAAAAGGTTTATGGTCCGTCGCCATCTTCTTCCAGGTGGCGCTACCCTCGAGGTAATTCAAGTTGGACTCCACCCTTTTGCTCCACACTTGGGCTGAACTCAAATTGTTCGGGAGGTGAACCACGTCAATTTCAACCTATGGGTGGTAGAGGACGCACACCATATGGAACTAATAGTTCCAAGCAGGCAAGCCAAGGTCTGAACCGGTTGAGGCCAGCGGAGATAGGGCCACAACGACCTGTCTTCCAACCATTCCAGCAGCAAGGGCAAGGCCGGAGCACACCAACCTCTGGAAGCCAGGGTCTGTACTGGTTGAGGCCAGCGGAGATAGGGCCACGACGACCTGTCTTCCAACCATTCCAGCGGCAAGGGCAAGGCCGGAGCACACCAACCTCTGGAACCCGCATGAAGCCTATAAATTTGTCAGACGTAGATCAGTGGTTTGGGCATCATCGGAGTGGAGGGGGATCAAACACTGGAGCTCCTCCTGCAAGCTCACAAGGGCTGGGTGCCGCGGAAACAAACATGTTTCCTTTGAACTCTCCGCACTCAGGGGGATCAAACACTGGAGCTCCACCTGCAAGTTCTCAGGGATGTGACTGAACCCGTGGAAATATCGGCAATGAAGGTTGTATGAATATGTTGCGTGAACAAACATGTCAGTGTGCTCGCGGGTCTGTTTTATCGTACCGTTTCCATTTCGTCAGAACATAAGAGTTTGAAGTTATGCTTTGTTGTTTTTTATGAAACTGCTGAGATGAACTCAACTTTTGGCTTTGGTTTTGGTTTTTCCTAGACAATTACAATCCGTCTCCTGTTTGTTGCATGTTGGTTCAGAGTGTTGTAGTTTAAAATGGTTAACATTTGCTTCTGTATCGGAGGTTTTAAGTTCAATTTCTCGTTGAGTTCAATTCCCGCTACTTCTCCTAACTTGTAATGGGCCGAATAAGAAATAGTCACAAATAGTGGCCCAATGGATCCTAACAATCCTTACCCTTAAAATACGACGTGTCCTCGTGCCGTTTCCAGCAAAACCTCACTGCAAATTTGAATATTTTAAGATTCTGAAAATTTGATTAAACCAGATGTGTCCTCATCTGTAAAAAAAAAGCAACGGACTTAGGGGGCCTTTCGTGAATAAGGAGAAATATATAATGTCGATTTTACCCCTGATAAATTGTAAAAAGGCAAGGGCATAATCGACTTATTGGACTCCAGTTGTGCTGTTTCTAATCCATTACGTATACCCATTATCTTCCACCATCGACGCAGAGTAAAAGCAGAGAGAAAGAGAATGGAGGTCAGTGCAGCGGTGGCTACGGCGGCTGCCGCCATATCCGTCAAGAGCATGGAGTTGAAATGGGTGAGCAGCAGAGGCAAAACCCAGATGGAAAAAACTATAAAAACGCCATCAAAGTCCAAATCGCCATTTCCTCTGCAAGCCATGGTCCCAATTTTCATATCCACAAACCCATCTCACGTACATCCATCCGACCTCCGAGACCTCTTCACCGCCTGCAACCTCTCACCCCACCGGTTCCCCAATTACGCCGACGACGGCGGCGTTGAAGCCGTCGACTTGCACAAGCTGCGCATTGCTCTCTCCCACAGCTCAGTCCTGGTCTCGGTCTTCTGCAAGCCAAGTGAATTAATTGGTGATTCATCATCGTTATCCTCTTCCATCGAAACGCAGCAGCAAAAGAGGAAGAAGAAGAAGAAGACGGTTGGTTTTGGGGAGTTGCTTCAGAATGCGGTGACGCCTGTTTCACCATCTAACGGTCAGTTGGTCGGCTTTGGCCGCGCCGTTTCCGATCTCGGACTCACCGCCTCCGTATACGATGTCATGGTATAAATTAACATCATTTTTCCAAGAGAAAATGTTGAAATATGGATGTATTGTATGAAGATGCTTCAGTGTCTGTTTGTCAGGTGATTCCTTCGTTGCGGGAAATGGGAATCGGCAGGATGATTGTTAGAAGAATCATAAGGTGCTTCAGTTTTCTATCGTTCTTGAAAACCGACTTGTCGTAAAGTTTTCAACTTCGTCGTTTCTCTGAATGCCTTCATGATATGTTCATTTAGCTCACATTGTTAAGTAGCACAGGGATTTGCAGACTCGGGCGTAACTGAGTTGGCTACCCAAGTTCCAATTCTCTTCCTGTAGTTTAGATTAGATTAGAATATCGCTCCCATAAGAAAAACGCTAGGATTTTGTGGTGTGTGAAAAGCTTTCCATTACTTGTTGCAGAATACTCACAAGTAGAGACATCTATGACATAGCAGCCCTTTGCTCAGATGATGAGAGGTAACAAATTACACCGATCTCGCTTGAATGCCGAAAAGCCTCAATCTTTTGGTGAAAAAAATATCTGCTGTGAATCTTGATTTCAGGTCATTCTTCAAAGGGTGTGGCTTTGGGGATGACATTTTGGCCTCCACTGCAATGATGTATACAAGGAGTAGTATTTCAACTGATCCTGAAGGCAATGAACAGATGATTAAACGTGCCGGTCGGAAGCTATTGCTAGTTCCACCCCTCTTAAATACCTTAGAACGCAAGAAGACTAGGAAATCATAAAGCCCAGCCTCTATATACCCTTGGCTGAAGCATCGAGATTCGAGACCCAAAACGAACTCCTTTCTTCTTCTGTTTTCCTGAAGGAGGAAGGGAGTAAGCTAGTTTACCTGTAAGCTTTTGATCATGAAAACTTGTGTAAAAAATAGTCTCACTGTTATTATATATTGCCTTCAGAGTCATATTCCCTACAGTATTATGCTGTGCGTTTTGTATTTTAAATCACAGATTCCTGCCCAGCTGTGGTGCAGTTTTGGCAGGGAAAAGAAGTTTGACAAAAGGGGTTAGCCCAAAATGTTGGTAGGGCATAAAAATTATCTCACCTCTAAAGTAAAGTAGCAATTTAGACAGCTTCCCTTCTTTCTCTTCAAGAAAGTTGTCTCTCTCAGCTTCTCTCTTTCCTTCAATTAGCCTGGCATGGGGAAACTCTGGGTTGAAGTGTGCCTGATATCCGCTCGAGGGCTCACGCGTTCCTCTTCGTTATGGAAGCTCCAGTGGTATGCTGTTGGGTGGACTAATCCCAACAACAAATACTGCACCAAGATTGATGCATCTGGAAATGCAAATCCGGTTTGGAGAACCAAGTTTGCTACCTTGGTTGAGGGCTCGGAGGCGGACTTGCAGGATCTGGCGCTGCACATTGATGTGTACAGCAGAGAGCCTATATTCCTTAGGGAAAAGCTTCAGGGGACGGCAACTATTGTCCTGAGAGAGTTTCTGGCTAAGCATAACAAGAACTCTGGGGCTCCAAGGCAAGGAGCTGAAGAAGTCGGGAGCTACCAGTTGCGGAAGAAGAACTCCAACAAACCTCAAGGGTTCATCGATGTTTCAATACGAATTTCCGAGGATATGGAAGCTCGAAGCTCGTACACAGGTTCATAATTTATAGAAAAACTTTGAAAGATCCTTGTATAAATTGGTTTCGAATTTAATGTGATTAGACTTCACTTCTGTTTTTTTATAGGCAGTGAGGGAGGACCTATGGATCACAGCAACACCATCACCTTGGCTACTGGAGACGGGTCTGCACCAGTGATACGACCTGTAGGTCGACAACTAAGGCCAGAAGATCAGTTCCGTATCAACTCCCCATATGCACAACCAATGCCTTTCCCTCCAAACTATTCCAATCCATCTGCATTTGGACCAAGCTACCCACCAGCCAGCGCCACAAGTTACCCGCCAGCAAGAGAACCAAACTACCCTTCAGCAAGCGGACCAAGCTACCCACCAGCAGGCGGGCCAAGCTATCAGCCGCCTAGAGCTCCACCACCGCCTCCCCCACCTTCTAATGTTGGCTACATACCCACTTTTATCCAGAGAACAGATCGAATGCCAGAGACCTACATCAATATGCCATCATCTGGAGCACCGCCTGGTCGCAGAGGAGCAGCTGGTGTTGGAATGGGAATCGGTGCTGGAGCGCTGGCGGCTGGTGCCGTGATCTTTGGTGATGACTTCATGTCAGGATTCGACGTTCCTTCAGGCTTACAAGATGCTAGTCTTACCATATCAATTGATCCTCCTTTCTGACCATGTTTGTAATTAGCATCAGCTTATGAAATGAAAATCTGTTAATTACTTTTTAATTACAGCTATAATCATCCGAACATAAATTTTATGATGAAAAGTAGTACAGCTATTGTGTTATACTTCAATTTACAGGCATTTCCCATTCCGTTGCTGAAAAAAAAATTCACGTCCTAAGAACTTCGCCTGAGCGCATTCCGATGTTAGTTTGCTTGATCAAACCCGTCATTTACGAGACTAGCGTCATACTACAGCTTGTATGTGCTGCTCCTGAGAATCTCCCAAAGCTGTTTGCAGAAACTTCTTAACTATTGAGACAAACTCATGAAATTTCTCTTCATGTGGCAAGTGCCCACAATGCTTGATTACTTCAAGGTAAGACCCGGGTATGGCTTGTGATAGCCTCTTGGCATTCCACGAGGGGACAATCCGGTCAGTATCACCCGTAATTATCAGAACTGCGTTCCAAAGAGAGAATGCTTAGTATCAACACTACATGTTTCCTCTCCAACATTAACGATAACATCGATAAGACAGTCTGGTAGTAGAGCATAAAAGGTCTTGGCTACACTAAAAGTTCATGGCTCAAACACACTAGCCAAAACTAGAATCTGGTTATTTGGCTCGGGGAAAAATATAAGGTTAAACTGTTACCAGGGCATGAGATTTCACAAAGTCTTTTCGACAATGGTGGCTTCGACTTAGATGAAGTGTCTGTGAGCATTGCTGCTGTGTACTCCAGAAGTGCCTTGTCCCAACCCTTAATCCTCAATGGCTGCATGTCATACGAACATCCAGGTGAGCACTATGCTCCCCCGAAACCAAACACAAGAAAGAAGGCAAAACTGTTCAAGATGATAACCTTTGTATAACCTTGTATGACATGTTCGGTGACTTGTTTCGAGTCATACCATGCATTCTTAACACCAGCAACACCAAATTTATCAATAGCCATCCTCACCTGAAGATTGTTTCGTAAGTTACTGTCAGATGTCAAAAAAAGAAAAATACCAGTATATCTTGTCCAGTGACATAACTATACAACCATTGTTACTGAACTAAAAGATTTTTCAAGCCAGAACTTAGAACATCAGGAGAAAACGTTTTCGAGATAATCTTAAACATTTGATCTTTTCCTCTAGTTCGCTGGAACACTCGATCAATTTACAGTAACTGGAAAAATGAAACCAAATGCAATGTAAAAAAATTGAGAGAGGGAGATCCTTACAAGCATTGCAGCAAAGGCAGAGCGTAGAATAGCCAATAAGAATTTCTTGTACAAAGAGTTAAGCATGCCAACCATTCCCTTCACGAGTCGCATTACTGCATCTGAAATAAATTTGGTAAACTTGGACAGAGTCTTGAAAAACTGGATAAATGGATTTCCTTGATTTACAGAATTTGAGGCATCTTCTTCAGTCTGGTTATCTTCTTCCGGTTGATGGCCCTTAGCAACCTTCTCAATAGCCCTTGGGGCAAAAATTGCTGGGGAGATAAGGATTAGAGCAGCAACACGCTCTGGGGATTCAAAATATGAATCAACTGCTACAAGACAACCAGCGGAATGCCTGATTTAAAAATTCAAATCATTGTGATGAAATGATGACAATGATTGAGAAGCTTTACTATCATTCCTAAAACAACTTATATATAGCCCAAAGGCACTATACGAGACTTAACCTCAATGGGAGTACCAAGGAAATGTGAGCAGAACCAGTTTTTTCCTTTCTCAAGACTGATTTATAGGGTGCAGAATTTGCCAGTGTTTTCTTCTCTTCTAGATCAGTGAATATATGGTGCTAGTCATTTTGATTCGGACACAACAATGAAAACGGCCAAGATGACTGGCCACCTGGTCAGCAAATTTATATGTTTCATTGAGGTTTTAATTCAAGTTTATCCAACATCTACTTAGGGTAATCCAAGGTACGAGCTTTCTCCACATATGCATGTTTACAAAAATTGCAATCTCCAGAATAGATAAGTGAAAATCAATGATTCCCTTAGAATAAAAGGCAAATCAAGAGAACGAAAATATACATACCCCACCAGAATCGCCTTCTCAGCTGCCAGAAAATCAATGAAGTACAAGGTAGCAAGCACTGCAAATGCCATGGAATATGGATTCAAAGGTTTGGATTCCCCATTTTCAGAAGCTGAATGCCCAAAAGCGCTTACCCTTGATGTCAATCCAAAGGCTGGTCTATCAAAGGCAAGAACCTTGGAACCAGTAGCCTCTGCCAATGGCTTCATAACTCGACTGAACGAGAAAACTGAGGCACCGAAGCCATGTAACAAAATCATAGGATACCCAACATTCTTAGTCTGGCTAGAGAGAGCCTCGGTCTCATATACCTGTGATTGTGCATTATATACCTTGTGGTGTATCTCCACTCCTCTAAACTCACAAAAACAACTATCCGGGTCAGCTAAAAGTTTCGGATTCTCCAGTTCATCTTCTTCAACCCCAGCTATTCCCCTCCTCTTCTGCTTTGTTTGCACATCCAGCAATTGCTCTGGTCGAGATTTAAAGTCAGAACCCAAAAAAAAAAAAAAAAACATACACAAGAGGTAAAGGGAAGTTATTTCCACACACCCCTTTTCTCCTTATGCACGCCTGTGTTTAATTCTAACTTACGCAGAAGGAGAAAATGAGTGCGCGGAAATCATTTCCTAATGTATACTAACAATTAAGAACAAACCCAATAATGCATAAAGCAAAACAAGAGCAAATAATTCCAATGATGAAAAGTTATCCCACTTCCCAATTCCCAACGGCTAATTAACATGATGAGCGGAATAACGAGTATCGATAATAAAACACAGAAAGATAAGGAATTTAGGCTTACCAGAACCGGAGTATTGGGCGCCGCCGGAGCCACTGACGGAAGCAGCAGAAGCGACTGGAAAAGACTTAAGAATTGTGTGGTTTTTGGCATCTGAACCAAATCTTGACGGAAAGCTTAAGCTGATGGTGGTGTTGCCGCCACGAAAGCTTGAAACTTTGCTGCAATTCTTGAGCAAGGCAAAGTCCGGAGGAAGCACCCCCACTCCTGCGCTGCTCCCCATTGGGATTTTGGCGCCTTCAATCTCTACCGCCTCACCTGAACTTTACGTAGTGGCCTTGAATCTGTGAAAAGACTTTTATTTAGGTGTCAATTGTAATATAACTTGCACTTTGGGTGATTCAATGTAAAATTATTAGTTTGTGAGGCAAATTCATAAAACCCAAAACCTTCAGGGGCCATTTCTGCAATTCTTCTTTTTATTAATGTAAGAATTGGAAAGTCTAATTGAAATTCCCGAGGATGACGACGATGGAGGCTCTGGTGTGCCGGAAACTGGGCGACCCGACACAACCCATATCAGACGGAGGTGCGGAGAAAGCGATCGTGGTGGAGAAGAACCACCCAATTCCGGAATTGGGTTCGCCGACATCGGTGAGAGTGAGAGTGAAAGCTACGAGCTTGAACTACGCCAATTATCTGCAGATACTGGGCAAGTACCAGGAGAAGCCGCCCCTCCCTTTCATCCCAGGCTCCGACTACTCCGGGACCGTCGACGCCGTTGGACCCGCCGTATCCAAGTTCAAAGTCGGCGACCCTGTTTGCTCTTTTGCCGCCCTCGGCTCTTTCGCCCAGTTCATCGTCGCCGATCAGAAAGAGCTGTGAGTTCGCTTTGTCCCTCTCTCCTTTCTCTCTATAAATTACTGATGTGGGATTGTTGGGGTTGGAAGGTTTGGAGTGCCGGAGGGGTGTGATCTGGTGGCTGCCGGTGCACTGCCTGTTGCATTTGGGACCTCGCACGTGGCACTTGTTCATAGGGCCAATTTGTCCTCCGGTCAAGTACTGATCTTTCTGATAATCTTTCTGTGTGTATTTTTCTGTGTTTGTTCGTGTTTGATTTATTGTGTTGTGTGTTTGAATCTGTAGGTATTGCTGGTTCTTGGTGCAGCTGGAGGAGTTGGCCTAGCGGCCATACAGATTGGCAAGGTTGTGGGAGCCATTGTTATCGCCGTAGCTAGGTACTTAAACTTGTTTTGATTTGACTGTAATTGGTTGTTAGTTTTGCTTTTGAATGCATTTAGGAAATGGGATTTTGTTGTTGGGTGCTGAATTTGCAGGGGAGCTGAGAAGGTGGAGTATTTGAAGCAGTTGGGGGTTGATCATGTGGTGGACTCGAGCAGCGAAAATGTTATCCAAAGTGTGAAGGATTTCTTGAAATCCCGAAAGCTTAAAGGGGTTGACGTTTTGTATGATCCGGTTGGAGGCAAGCTTACGAAAGAGGCCATGAAGGTTTTGAGTTGGGGAGCCAACATTTTGGTCATAGGCTTTGCAAGTGGAGAGGTCCCTGTCATTCCTGCAAATATTGCGCTTGTTAAGGTACAATTATTGATTGTTTGCAGTCCCAAATATCGCAATTGTTGGCGGATATGAGTAATGCCGGCTTAAGATTCGATGGTTAGATTGTTTGCAGTCCCAAATATCGCAATTGTTGGCGGATATGAGTAATGCCGGCTTAAGATTCGATGGTTAGAGGAACATAAGAGTATTTAGGATTGATTAGTGGATAGGATGTGGAAGTTTTTAAGGACGCCAAAACCTTAGTGAGAATTATAGTTATTTGAAATTGATCACCTGAAACTCTTACTTCCTTTTTCCAAGTAGTGATTGCAGTAACTACCACTTCAATCATATAGCCTTTAGCATCTGTATGTGAAGCGATCATTGCTTGAAATATGTGAGAATAATGTTGGAGAAGGCTGAATGAAAATACGAGTGTATAAAATTGTGTATCTAACTTACGTGGGTCTTACTTATATTTTGTTCCTGAAGTTTTGGTTCAAGAATAATGCACTTATGCTTGTGTATTATTTGCACCAGAACTGGACGGTGCATGGACTTTACTGGGGTAGCTACAAAATACATCGACCAGGTATTCTTGAAGAATCGCTCAAGGAGCTACTGTCCTGGGTGGCAAGAGGGTTGATCAGCATCCACATTTCTCATGCTTATCGCCTGCCCGAGGTTAGGAACTCGTACTCTTTTTTAACCTCTTATCAGAGCTACCAGCTCTGGCTTCTGAGTTTTCAGTACTCTGTGTGAGTAACATTATGATTTGGATGATGGTATGAAGACACATCCTATAGAACTGATCAGATATAAGTGAACGAAATGTAGAATAATTCTTCAAGGAACTCCGTCTAGTATTGTCCATGTGATTAAGTGATTTGTTGCTTTGACTTTAGTTTACTGCAGAGATTGATTATCTGAGCTGTTTTCATTTGCGTGTAAATGACAGGCCAATCTCGCTTTCTCTGCCATCAAAGATAGGAAAGTCATTGGAAAAGTGATGCTTGTTCTCGATGACGAGAGAAGTGCAAGATCAAAGCTTTAACTGGATCAGAATTCATCCGGGATGGCGGAGCCTTGTAATCGTTGGCACTTCATATCCAGAAACTTTCGTAATGTGTTAAGCGTCGTTTACCATTTGATCAGATGATGATAGAAAATCAAATAAAATCTGATGGTTTGGGTCCGTAGTACCAGTTATGTAACCTCTGTGTTTTATTGACCTGCCTCTGTTTGTCTATTTTTGTTCATTTATGAATGCACAATGAAGCCAAGCTTCGAATTTCGTGGATGGCGAATTCAATTCTAAATTCAGTTGCCCATTGTGTGACTTCGCCAAACTCCCTCTCTTATTAGTGTAAAAATATCGATGTATTCAAAAAATAAATAAAAATTGGAGCCAAGGTTTATTTGCGAATGCGAGATCAACTGATAGATGCCGTTCAATTGAGATTACAAAAGTGATATTTCATTGGGTCATCACAAACCAATCTCCTTTTCTCTTTCTCTTAAGCCTTTTGCTAACAAAAAATGATTTATACTTAAAAATGGCAACTGGGAGGAACCTAACAGAGCAAAAGTAAATCCCAGAAGATGAATAAGAACGGAAAAGGCGTTGCTGGGTTGGCCTCCTATGAAATTGGGTAGTATGGAAAGCAAAAGCAGGCTTAAATAATTACCGATGTCATTGAATAATTAAAACAATAATAAATATGAAATTTTATCTCATGTGAAGCTTCCGAAATATTGATATCGTGTTCCATTCGTTAATTTTTTTTCTCAATCAACGTGTTTATAGTTTCAATAGTTAAAATTTTATTCAACAATGGAGTGGAGGGTGAGATGAGTTTTGATAGTTGAAGAAGATAAATAATGGGTTAAAAGTAATTTGGGGTGTATTTAGAAATTTCTTATTTTCTTTAAACCTCATAAGGTCAAAATTATCATTACATAATAGGTTACATAAGCCACTTAATATTAAATTTTAATGTGGGGTGCATTCAAAATTATGTGGGGTGCTAATAAAAAAAGCCTTAAAATAATTGTTTTTTTATGTATGGGAGGGAAAAGAAGGCAAAAAAAGAGGAGGTTTGGGTTCCACCAATGAGAGGTGATGCAAAAAGAGGACATGCTCCTAATTTGTTATGTTTGTTTAGCCAAGACGCCCATGTTCCATGTTACTCTCTTTTTTTGGCCAATGCATTTAGTACTTCTTATTAATTTGTTAAAAGTTTCAAATTTAGGGCACCAATCAAATTGTGCACTTGACATAATAGTTTTTAGGATACATACATTTGTCAAGTGCAACACTTACATTACCCATGTAATTGTGTATTTGTCTAATCAGATGATGTAATGGACCGTTAAAATAGAGAAGGACTTGCACGCATCAAGTTTTCTATTACGCCAGTATTTTAAACTAATATTGTGATCTCATATGTAAAAAGATTTATAGGCAACATTGTGGTATTGACTATTAACTCATAATATCATAGTGATATTCTAAAAGGTGAACGTGAGTCATTCCCCTTTTAAGGGGTGCTAACCTATTCAATGAGTCAACAACGACCCAAATGGTACCCCTTTGGTGGGTCAAATAGGTCATTCTATGAGGACCTGGATCATCTCCGAGGCAAACCCTCGGGATCCTGCTGGATCGAAATCCAACGGCTACAAACAGGGGGTCCCTCTTAAAGCTATAATAATTGTAGCCGTTGGATCGAAATCCAACAGCCCATGTTTGTCGCTCAACAAGATCCCGAGGGTTTGCCTTGGAGAGGATCCAGTTCTATTCTATGAGTCAGGATGGCACTATTTTATGGTCTCCATATTGAGTACGTATTCGTACATTGTCATACCAAATTTTTTTAAGAACAATCTAAATAATGTCCATTCTTTTAGCCCAACTTAGGCCCAAAATTAAACCGAAGAAATGTGCTTTCGGTATTCAGGACCAGATAAGTTGAAATTGCAAAAGCTAAAATACGAAATGCTCATCCACCTCAAATGTCAAATTTTCAGGTTACTTTTCCGCTATTTTCTTTGCAAACTTTTGATGGATCAAACTTAGATGTCGTCGGTAAGATTGAATCGCAGTTTCAATCCTACATTTAACAAACAGAAACAATAATAAATTAAAACTGAGAACACAAACAATTTTACGAGAGAAAAAGTCCTCAACAAGTGAGGAGAAAAGCCTCGTAGCACACAACTCAAGCATCACTGTCCACTAAGGAAAAATGACTTATACAAGACTCAATAAGATAGACATTTACTAGTAGTAAATTACTGCACTTGAAATTATCTCTTGTACTTTTGTTCTTGTAGCACGCAGTCCTTACTTAGCCTTCTTTTGGATGAACACGGTTGACAAACAAAGGAATGCACACAATTTTGCTTCACACGATACGATAATTGTTAGATTTCTAAAACCTCACGAAAATTGCTCTCAAAATCTAGCCCTAGAAAAAAAAAACACACTTTTGCTCTCAACATTCTTAGAATACGCAAAAGTTAATTTCTCACAATATATACTTAGTTATGCAAAAGTTAATTTTCTAAATAAATGCAATGATTTTTACCTTAAGAAATTCACGAAATCAGGTTGAATGATGTTGCCATGTAAATCAAGTCAAACGATAATGTGATTCAAATTCGTTTTTAACGAGAATCAAACATAAAACTTCTCACTTATAACGTAGTACTAAGTGGCCACTTAGATCTAAAACTTAAGGATTCAAAATGAAATCGATGACCTTCACCAAAAATAAATAAAAAATAAAAAATTTGAAAGCTAAACATCTA